AGTGCCTTATTTCTTATCTGGTTTAATTTGTGCATTATAGAGTTTGTATTGAAAACAATGTAAAATTTAGATGTGGGGGTGGGGACTAATCATTTTTTCTCTTTATTTTACCATTCTTTCTCTTTTTTATATTATGTTTTTTTCCTTTTCATAAAAATATTGTCACTTACCAACTTAATAAAGTTAATTAATAATAGATCTGTTTGATAAATTTTAAATTTTCTAATCCTTAGTTAGTTTTATACTAAAGTTTACATTTATGATAACTTTAAATAAATTTCTTAAGATATGATTTTTAAAGTAGTATACTTTACTAAAGTCTTAACTTAGGCTTTTAATTAAATGAATAAAATTTTTGTATGCTTAGCTTAGAGTAGAAAATAATTTTTTAAGTTATCTTGATCTAAATATTTTTCAAGATATATATACGTATACACACATATATATATTAAAAAAACCAACTTTGCAAAAGAAGAGTGTGAAAAATAAGCACCAATAAATATTCTCTTGAAATTCAAGGTAGTTTTATCCTATAAAACCTAAGTTGATCGAGTAATTAAGGCCAATGAGTATTTTCATACTTAATGATCTAGGCGCAATTGAGTTGGAATTCATTAGCCCAAAACTCATTAAATGGTCACTTAGAAAGCCCGATGAATGTTTGCGGGAAAAATAAGAAGAAAATTAAGAAGAAAATTAAGAAGAAATGTTATTAATTCTCCTAACTGATTTAGGAAAAGAACAAATACAATCTCTCTTTGCAATCTCTCTCTAACAGACATAGAAAAGAAATTACAATCTTCTTGATTGGTTTCCTGATTTACAAAAGAGAGAAGGATGGATCCCCCTCTTTGTTTAAGACTGTGTTCTTTTTGGTGACAATGAGAGTTTAAATCTTGTATCTCGTTGACGATCCAAGCAATTCGCTTCTTAGAACGTTGTCTACTCTTCTTAACTTAATGTCAGGAAGAACTTGCCAAGCAAGTTTAGAACTGTAAACGAGTTTAAGAACTCTACGAAAGAGTTAATTTTAGAAAGGAAATTTAATCCTTTTTAACTTAATTAAGCAAAAAAGTCGATCGTAAAGTTTTTTTAATCAAAAATGGTTCAAAAAGGCCAAGCCAAATGATCTCAAAGCTCCAACAAAATCCAAGTCAAAGAGAATCCAAAAAAGGATCCAACCAAAAGCTCTCCATTTTTTCAGCTGTAAACCCTGCTATTTATAGGGTTTAAGGGGTGTAACCGACCCCTTAATTTGCTCTATAATGGGGGCTTAATCACCCCCATTAAGTAGGGAACCTTCAAGAGTGGAACCTCGCGTTTGGCTTTTGAAAAGTGGGGGTGACCTCCGCATTTAGCTGTTGAAGCACTAGGGTGAACTCTGTGTTTAGCTATTGAAACGCGAGGATCGACCTCCGTGTTTAGATGTTAAAACGCGAGAATCGCGTTTGGCTTTAGAGATGCAAAGATCGCCAATTTGTAATCTTTGTGTCACCTCTGCATCAAGTCTTCTTAAAATACAAAGGTAGTCATCTTGTAACCCTTTGCTCTGGATTCTAAAGATGTAAGTGTCATCAAATTGTAATGTAGGCTGTCTAAAAATTACTACAGATAGATGATCCTCATAAAGCACTGATGATGGAAGTTATAATCTGATGACTTCCACATCAACAGATAAAAGTTACAATCTGATGACTTTCATGACAATAGACGAGAGTTTCAAATTGACGACTCTCACATTTTAAAGAGTCAAATGTAAGGATTACAAGATGATGATCCTTGCAATACTTGAAGAAAGAGATTATAATTGACAATCTTTTTAAGGCCAAACGCGAGGGTCCACCCTCGCGTTCTAAGTTCCAAACACGAGGCTCACCTCCACGTTTTATGCTCTAAACGCGGGGTCACCTCTGCGTTCCAAAATTTGAAATGCGAGGATCACCTCCACGTTTCAAATTCAAAATATGAGGATCATCTCCACGTTTCTAACTCAAAATGCAAGGATCACTTCCACATTCCAAACTACAAATGTGGGGCTCACCTTCGCATTCCAAGCTTCAAATGCGAGGTTCACCTCTGTGTTTCAGAAGCTGAACACAAGGCTCGCTCCAAAACGTGAACCTTGCGTTTGACTGGTTCAAACACGACTTGAACGGTTTCAAAACTATTTTGCACGTAATGGGGACATTAAACCCTCATTATGGAGCAATTTAAGGGGTTAGTTACACCCCTTAAACCCTATAAATAGCTAAGAATTCAGCTAAAAAAGGGTTAACTTGGTTAGAGCTTGATTTTTGGCTTTGGTGAAGGCTTTTGTTGGAGCTTTAGAGCTTTTGGTTTGGCTTTTGAACCATTTTCGGTTGAAGAATTTTAAAATAATTTATTCTCTGATTTCAGCTAAAAGAGATTAAATATCCTTTCTAAAATTAACTCTTTCACAGAGTTCTTAAACTCGTTTAGAGTTCTAAACTTGCATTGGATGTTAAGTCAAGTGGAGACAACAAAGTTCCACGAAGTAAGACGTTCAGATTGTCAACGGGATACAAGATTCAAACTCTCATCGCTATCAGGAAGAACCCAGTTTTAAACAAAGAGAATGATCTTTGTAGATTTCTTTTCTCTTTTGTAAATTGAAAAACCGATAAGAAAAATTATAATTTATTTTTCTAAGTCAGTTAGAGAGATTGCAAAGAGAGATAGTATTTCTTCTTTTCCTAAGTTAGTTAAGGAGAATTAATAGCATTTCTTCTCAATTTTCTTATAATTTTTCCCATAAACAAAATATGGAGACTCCGCTGGGGACTAGCTTTTTTGCTGATAAAGAGGTGGTGGTGCAATTCGACACCAAACTCATGGGAATAACTGTTAAAACTCTTATCGTGGAGTTCGACCAAGCTAAGTACGAGGAGTCTCTCTCCTCCGGATCCCTTAGCCCTACGGCTATGCGCAAGATCCGCATAGTCTCCAAGGAGACTAGGATTCCTCCTACTGTTGACTCACCGAAGGAGTGTCTCTCCTTTGGATCACGTTGTTCATACAACCCTTCTTTAGAGGAGAAGAGTTATCTCCAACTGAACTCGTCAATCGAGTTAGAGGCCCTACAATTGTGCCTAAACAAAAGATATCGGGTCATAAGAGGCCCATTGTCGCGACTAATCAAATCAGTACAGGTGGTGATTGTTAGCCCTCATGTTTTGATGATGTTCTTACAACCACCATTATCGGTACTAATGGCTTATTGAGTGTAAATGTAGTAAAATCATTTGTCAAGCTCGTTAGTGCCATTAACGGAGGATGGATGGAATATACGCTAAAACGAAGACATCTAAAGGAGGAGGAGGCCAAAAAGATGAAGCAACGTTATTTCAAGAACAACAAAGGCATATAAAAGCTTCATCCGATTCAAGCTATATCAAAGCTCAAGTATTGCTTTCAATATGAGGATATTAGCCTTCTTTTGTTCTTCTCTCTAGTGCTAGAATGTAGGCAAAGAGTTACTGAGTTTACTTGAAGCTATTGGGAATCACACACACGTTTTTAGACTTGTGTCTTTTAAGCGTTTTTTCACAAAACACTATTTTTCACAAGTATGAGTACCTATCTGCAAAATTCTTTTTCCAAACAGTTTGTTTTTAGTATTAAAAACATTTTACAAAGTTTCAGAATTTTCAGAGGTCAAATGAATATCTTGCAAATATTTCAAGTTGGTCAAAAACCTGTTTTCTGGAAAATATCAGAAATCGGTCGACCGGCCCGGTCGACCGATCCTATGGCCATTCCTTAGTATCTTTCCAGATTGTCGTCGATCGACCGATACGGTCGACCAAATTTTCAATCTTCAAATTGGTCGACCGTTCCGGTCGACCGAAGAGGCTCTGCTTGGTTTTCCAAATTTCTTTTGCTGTCAGCGATCGACCGAATTTTTCGGTCGGTCGACCGACGGTATTTTCGGTCGACCGATTATTTCTTCGGTCAACCGA